TTTTGAGGCGGCTGGGGGTCCAGGGCAACAAAGGACCTCAACCCCTGCCGGGTGACCATGCGCGAGAACACCAGCGGGATAAGGGCTTTGGCTTTTTGGGTTTAGGCTAAACCCTAAACCCTAAAGCCTAAAGCCTAAACCCTAAACCCTAAACCCTGAACCCTGAACCCTGAACTCCCTTGGATCCAAGCTTCTCACAAGAGGAGATGGCCGTGTTGAAAGCAATGAGGCTCCTCGGGAGAACTCCATGCGACGCGCACCCGGAACCCAAAAATCCCAGAGCCTCCCAGAAATGGGGCTCTTGTTCTGTTCATGTGCCCATGAAAGCAGAAACATGGCGAATTTGGGAGCGGGGGCGTTGTTCTCAATTCGGTTCTCTTTTGAGGACCCTTCATGAAATCCCCCCCCCATGCCAAAGGCGGTGATCAACAAATACAAGCACCCATTTGACCCTAAACCCTAAGTTCGCCCCAGAAAACATGTTTCTGTGGCAGGACTCAAGTCTCTTCGTCTACAGGAACAGGTTGGGACTCCGCGTGCTGCTAAGAGGACCAGGCCAAGTCACCAGGGCAACTGGCTATATCAAGTAGGGTTTTACATTGCTCGTAACCCCCATAATACACTCTCAGAAAATACATAGAGAAACCCTATATACATTCATCAAGAACGGAAATGTACCGGGGCCCTGAAACTTTTTGGGGCTCAGCGCTATTGAGCTGCGGCGCGTTTCGACAGTACGGCCGGACACCGCACGAAGAACTTCCATGGAATCCAGCCACCTGCATGTCCATGAGTTGGGGATGATGGGCTCAAGTATGTATGCCCGAAGCTTTATGGGTGCCCGTGAAGCCATGAAGCTCAAGAACCAGTTTCGAGATTCTCACCTTCTGTCTGTCTGATAAAAGACTCGCACGGGCTCAAGAGTCTTGATCGTCGAGCAGCACCGGGTCGTTCGATACTGTGGTGCGGCTAAGATGTCTTCCGCTTTTGGCTGCTGTTGCAGAAAATTTCTGCCATAGCCCCCATTTGCCTCATTCCATTCACCAGCCAACTGAATACGCAATGCAGGTGAAGAAGGCGCAACCAAGCACTTGCATGCTGTGAGATGATGCTTGCTTGTCCTCCTCTGAAGTGTAAGCCCGAAACCCTAAACCCGAAAACCCATATTTGCAAACCTTCCTGGATGCTGATCCCGGCAACCCGGAAGAAACCCAAACCCACAAACCAAAAGCACTGAGCCATAAGCACAAACGCCCTGAAGCCTTAAACCCTATAGCCGACAGCCCTAAAACTTAAAGCCTAAGCCCCGCAAACCCTGGAAACTCCCAAACCCTAAGCCCTCAAAGCCATACACCCCTCAAACTTGAACCCGCCAAAAAGCACCCCTAAAAAAATAAAACTCAAAACCCTAAAGCTTAAAAATCCTAAACTGCCCCTAAGCCCTAAACACAAAAAGTCCAAAGTCGAAATCCTACCCTTCGTCCCAGTGACCTTCCAGCGCGCTCGCACACCCCAAGAGCAGCGCCGAAACCTTATCTTCAAGGGTTCTGGGGCTTTAGGCCTATACGGCTGTCAGGGTTGTTAGGGTTGCTCGGGGTTGAGGGTTACTTGGGGGTTTAGGGTTGCGGGCTTAGTGTTCAGGGCTGCTTGGGGTTGAGGGTTTAGGGTTTTGGGGAGGCTTAGAGTTCAGAGCTTTTAGGATTCAGGGCTTTAAGGGTTTAGGCTCTGCACGGGTTGTGAGGTGGCGTGTAGAGCGTTTAGGGGTTTAGGCTTTATCCTAGGCTAGTCACGTGGCCCCTGAATATAGTCCCTTGCTTTGGGACCCCCTGCATACCCCTCATATACCCTGTACAACCCAAGGGCCCATACTTCAGAAGGAAAGGGACCATACTACAGGACCATGCAACTTCCCTCAGAGTTTAGGGTTTTAGGGGTTTTGGGTTTGGGGGGTTGTTAAGGGTTTCGGGTTTGGGGGGGTTGTTAAGGGCTTAGGGTTTTGGGCGTTTAACCGGTTTACGGTTTGGGGTGTAGGTTTAAGGGTCGGTGTTCCATGGTTTCGGAGTTTTGGAGTCCACCTTAGGGTTGGCGACCAATGACCCGAGAGGCCAAAAGCCTCTGAATCATGGGATATCCCTGCACGTACCCATACTCAGCCCCCCAAGTTGCGTAAGGCACATTGTTCCTCCCTAAACCCTAAACCCTAAACCCTAAACCCTAAACCCTAAACCCTAAACCCTAAACCCTAAACCCTGAGTACAGAGCAGTGGGTTCCTAAGTCGGCCTTCAGGGCCAGCCGAGATGCAGATGATGTTCATCTGAACACGCAAGCTCTGCATACCTGTGAGGACATCCTGGGCAAGGTCGTCCACTGCTCTTAGGGTTTAGGGTTTAGGGTTTAGGGTTTAGGGTTTAGGGTTGAGGGTTGAGGGTTTAGGGTTTAGGGTTTAGGGTTTGGGGCTTAGGGCTTAGGGTTTAGGGTTTAGGGTTTAGGGTTTAGGGTTTAGGGTTTAGGGTTTAGGGTTTAGGGTTTAGGGTTTGAAGAATGCCTCTCTGCTTTCCAAGCCCTCCTTGGAGCGAGGTCCACAGCCTCCTCCACCCCGCACCCTGAGAAGTACCGGAAGGCCCTACGAAAGCCGTGTCTCGAGAGCATCGCCCCAGGCTTGCCTTAGGCGAAGCTCGCGAAAAATGGACACCTGGGCTTGCGCGCAGGATTCTGTTTCAACCCTGGCCCTGTAGCACTAAGGTCTGACCGTTAAGGGTTCAGGGCTTAGGGTTTAGCGGCTTAGCGAATGCCAATGATGACACGCATGCTAATGATATTGTGCGCGGAACCCCTTTGCACCGGGCTTACCTGCAACGTGCCAAATCCCTCGGACAGCAAACAACTTTGGCACCTCTTTAGGGCTTGGGGTTATATAGGGATAGGGTTGGCGGAATTGGGCCCTAAGTCCTATCCAAGGCACGAAACGCTTCGGGTCATCTTTCGCCAGCGCCTTGCACGAGAGGGGATGGCTGCTTTCGCACACCATGCGTTCTAAACCCCAAACACCCTAAGCCTGCAACCCTCGTGGGCACTAAACCTTCTTTCTTGACTTGGTGTGTTCAAGGTGCCACCAGCGTGGGGTTAGCGTGGGAGCTGTAGTTGGGGGTGCAAGATGCGGGCCTCAGATATCACACGCACTCGGAGAACACAAAGAGCCTTTGGGACCCCAACCTTACGAAACCCTTGCCCTTGAACCCAAAAACGATCGGCCTTCTTCTTCGTCCTGGGCCCTCCGGAGGGGTGCCGCCGGATCATGAACCCGGTACCCCAACCTCGGCTAGGCTTAAAGGTTTAGGGGACAAGGGATTTAGGGGCTTCGGACTTTTGGTGGTTGGGTGGGCCAGTGTACGTAATTGGTTAGGGATCTCCCTCGACTCAGCGTCTGCCCTAAAGACACTGACGTCGAGTCCATGTGCTTTGTGTTGGAGCAGGGGGTTGGGATTCGGGGGCGGGAAAATTCTGTGTGTCACGTCGCTCTCAGTCGAAGCCTGGAAAGCTGTGACGTAAAGCACTGCGACCTGAATTGCCTAAATCCTGAATGTGCCCAGAAACGCAGCAGTCAGCAAGCATCACAGTCGGAGAATCGGCGCGGCAGCCAGAGTGATGGAGAAGAGAGAACACGACGGAGACCCACATGGCTCAAGCTTGGGATTTAGGGCCTCTAGGGGTTCGGGGGTTCAGAGCGGGGTCGGCCCTGAACCCGAAATATTCAGCCTTCTTCGGGCTTCGGCAACCGGGATTGCAATGCTGGCTTTCAGGTTCCAGGAGGAGGGGCGAAGGCTGCGAAGGGAAGGGAAACTCGGCCTGCGGTGCAAGTCAGCCACCAAGCCGACCCATAAGCACATGCACTGCAATAGAAAAACTGGAGGTTAAGGGTTGCGGGCTTTGGCAAGAGGGGCTCAGGTTTCTAGGGGGCTTAGGGCTTGGGACAAGACCGAAGGGGTCATGAAGAGTCCCAGAAACAAGCGGAAAGTCCATCCTGCAGCTCCACACCCCGTTTCTTTCAGATGGCGGGGACCAGTCTGAGCTTCACCCAACTTGAGTGTTGCATAGCGTTGCTCAGCGGCCTCTGTGCGAATCGGAGTCTGGGTTTGGGGGGGATGCAGAGGTGAACTAGGCATCTGTACATGTGCCTCTGATCCAGTCCATGGCCTGGAGGCTCAGTCCGAATCATCCCAGTTCATCCAAGTCTCCAATCGGGCCGCGGCCGAGAAAGAAAGCGACTGGGCTGCCAACTCTTGGACTGAAAGGTGGGCTGCCAGGAGGGCTGGGAGAGCGATAGCCACAGCGGCGCCCGCGGCGGCTGAAAGGAGTCTGCTCGTTGCCGGGGCCACCGCTGCCAGTCCTGGGAATGACATCACACCGCCCAGCATAATCTGGGCTGTTGCTGAAGTCCTGCTGGTAGCCCTGTGATCCGGCTTGCGGTTCAAACTGCCTGCCTTCTGGGGTTAGCATCCATTGGTGGACTGCATTTCCGAAAGGAGTCCCTCCTACCATGGCACCCAAAGCATGGGCAAAGTTGACACAGTTCCCACGAGCTGGCGGGAGCCCACCAAGTCACGGGCCACGTCGCGAATGGAGCGATCTTGCGGTTGAATTCTGTTCAGCGCACGCCGGAAGTCATCTTGATAGCGGCCTGGGGCGCTGGGGATGATGAAGCGCATGATGCCTGTCCGTGTCCCATCTCTCCTGTTGACTGGCATCCAGTGACCCGTCCACTGATAGCCATACCGGCTCTGGCAACGCCCAGCAATCGCCTCAGCCTCGCTCTGCGTGCGGATTGGCCCAACGTCGAGTTCTACTTCGGGCATATCGCTTGCAGCAGGGGATCAAGAAGCAGCCCGGGGGGGTGAGGATTCTGCTTGAGCCAATCTCGGCTGGAGAAAATTATTGTTTTTGGGCTCTTATGGGCTCTTCTCAGCTTATAGCATCATCCGATTGATTTGCGTGTCAGGTCCTTCAAGCTGTATTGCGCAACCTCGGTGATGACGTACATGACTCCATCCGTGGGATCCGGGCCAGGCTCGCCCTTGTCGTCCTTGCAACACATCCTATTTTTAGGGTTTAGATCTTATTTTAAATGGTAGATCGTACAACGTAACGCGCCATGACTTCTGGAGTACGACAATGCAAGCAACTGTGGGAGGTCTCTCTTCTAGCACCAACTGTGGAAGCTTGCTCCACTCAGGTGCAAACACCCACTGCAAAACCACGTCACCCCTGCAACCTATCCCCATTGAAGGAGCTAGACCTGACACTTGGCTACCTTCGGAGTATACAGATGTACATGTTGCTGTCTGTAGATATGTATGTATGCATGCATGCATGTGTGTGTCTACTTATTGGTACTTGTTCATCTATTTGCAATGCACTTGCTTGCAGAAGGTACCCTGCACCAAAAAGCCGACATCCCATCGGCGTCCTTCGAGTAGTCCAAGAGCATCATGAAGAGCTTGGAGGGCGTGGCTTTCGCAAGGTCGGGATGCCACAGCGTCTGATCCTGCCCAAGCCAGAAAGCGGGTAGGAAGGGGGCCACCCCCTAAACGGCTTTGTTCGCATGTTGATGTATATGTATGATTCTACTTCACAGTCTTCAAAATGAATATATACACATATACATATATACATATATACATACATACATATATACATATATACATATATACATATATACATATATACATATATACATATATACATATATACATATATACATATATACATATATACATATATACATATATACATATATACATATATACATATATACATATATACATATATACATATATACATATATACATATATACATATATACATATATACATATATACATATATATGCATGCATGCATACATACATACATATAAACATACACATATACACATACCTGTAAAATATACATATTCTATGCACGCATATATATATATATATATATATATATATATTATTTATCTAATTATTTATTTATTTATTATTTATTATTTATTTATTTATTTATTTATTTATTTATTTATATATGTGCGTGTGTGTGTGTGTGTGTGTGTATGTGTATATATATATGAGGCAAGGTACCTGCGTTTTGTTGGTACATTTGTAAGGTACCTGCTAGGAATCCGGAAGGTTGGGAGTTGAGCGGCTCGGGACTCTGGATCCCCTAACCCAAACATTCCTGAACCTAAATCCCGAAACAAGCCGTGAACCAGTAAACCACCTTAAGCTAAACCCTAAACCCTAAACCCTTAACCCTAAACCTCAAGCCCTAAACCCTAAACCCTAAGCCCGAAATTCCAAAACTCCCATGGTTTCAGCCGACCACACCCGAACCTTGGGCACCACGAATGCCTCTTGCAGCCTCGGGGCAGGCGTTCAGGACTTCATGGCATTAGGGCTTGGGGTTCGCAGTTTAGGGCTTTAGGGCTTAAGGGCTTCAGGGTTTGAGGCGTCAAGGGTTTAAGGGTTTGAGGGTTTAAGAGTTTAAGGGTTTAAGGGTTTAAGGGTTTAAGGGTTTAAGGGGTTAAGGGTTTAAGGGTTTAAGGGTTTAAGGGTTTAAGGGTTTAGGGGTTTAGGGGTTTAGGGTTTTTGGAGCACGGGCCATAGAACGATTGCCCATTCTTGGGGGAACAAATAGGTTAGCGACGTACCTGTCAGGCACATAAGCACAAGGCATTGGTATTCAACGCCATGTTCTTCAAAAATGACTCTACGACACACGGGAGAACACGCATTCCACAGACAGCATTCCAGCACCCGTCAGCACGTATGCAGCACGTATCTCAAAGCACCACAAGAAGTCCTGAAGCACCCAATGCATGGGCTTTGAAGACAGCAAAAATCTCACAGCAAGTTTTACAAGATAGAAACTCGATGGTTCAGGCTTTTTCCTAACATAGGTAGTGGGCCTTTTTGACACGAATGGGCCCGAGTCTGGTTCAGTTGGAGAGCATGGCTGAGTTTGGGTCTTCAAGGCCTTTGGTTTAGTGACCTTGGTACTGCTGTATTCAGAAGCCGATAACACACCAACCTACAGCAATGATAAGATGCATGTTTTTAGGTTCCGTGGTGGAAGGCAGTTGAAGTTGAGTCAAGCTGAGTGAGTACTTGGGCTCACAGGGGAGACAAGGGGGTAACATTGGAAATTACCTTCGCTCTTGCAATACACCAGGCCCCCCTGAGCTGAGACCCCATCATCTTCAGCACTTGGATCTGGCGCTTGAACTTCTGAAGGCGGATCTCCTGCAACTCGTCAAGTCTGTGTTACGTGCACTAGCCCACGTATGTCCATCCCCGAACAGCGAGACTCACAAGGGAAAGGGCCTCAGAGCTGTTCACGGATTTCGTGGCCGTCTTGTAGACTTTGATTGCCACTTCCTCAGCTCTGTACACGCTCTCAGTTTGGGGGTGACAGGCGGCAACCCACAACCTACATCCCGAAATGCAAGCACCCTGCTTCAAGCCATGTCGAGAAAATCATGACCATTTTTGGGTTCAAGGGCTTTGGGTCAACTCTGAGCAGCCTTCCTTAGGCCCAAAAACATCGACGACAGAAAAGGCAAAAAAGCCCTCCTGAAGATAAGGTAATGAGGATACCAAGATGTCTCATACCGAGAGGGAATCCTTCTCTCCTGGCGAGGAATCTGAGGCATGTGCTACAGAAGAGGCCTGGACTGCTGAACCCCTGCGTCATGAATTTCACTTCTTCCTGCACCCGCCATATTCCTAAACCCTAAACCCTAAACCCCAAACCACCTGGTCCAAGATGCCTGACCCGTCTCCAGGCAAACGCCCTGCAACCAGGGCTTATAAACTCCGAGTCCAAGGGCTTCAGGGCGTCGGATCTACGCTGTGGGGCCAACGGGAAGCCCAAAAGGCGTCCCTTTTGGGAATCTTTTGGAGAGCTGCCTATGTCCCACCTACACTGTTGCGACTTTGAGGCCCGCCTTGCGACAAATGGAAGAGGATCCTTCTCCCAGGCAATCCGACTTGTTGCAGCTCATCTTGTACCTTTTGTGCGCGAGGCTACGGATTGCGCAGCTTTGGAAAAGGTTGCCACGGCTACCAATTACCAGGATGCCACGGCTACCAGGCCGTCTGGGGCCTGGGGTTTAGGGCCGGTTTAGAAGACCTTGCGAAAGCCGTCGGCTACTGGGGTAAACATCTACTGAATCGAGCCGCTTCCCCATCACGATGGGCTTGTCCGGATCGGCATCGCGACCACCATACTTGGGAGGAGAGGTCGCTCCACCTCTGTCATGGAGCAAGTCAATGTTTGAGGTGCCGTTTGGCAGAGGAGAATTGGGGGCTCACTGACGGCTGTTTTTGCGTTCTCGCGCGGAAAAGCAGAGGATTGCACAAGCTGGCAAGAAGGTGCTTTCCAAACCCGTCAAGCTGACTCATCACCTGCATGGATACACAGAAACAAACCCACCGCAACACACAGCTCTGCAGCAAGATGCCGCCTACCCTGGCAGATGTTCGAAGCAAACACATGAAGACGCTGGTCCCCCTTCATTTCGGTAGTCGTGCTATTCATCACCTTGCAACTGCCTGCTCCACCAACTGTAGGGTATCGAGGATGGCCAGGTTGCTGAAATTGTTGCCCTAAACCCTAAACCCTAAACCCTAAACCCCAAACCCTGTAGGCGAACGGAAGGCTGCCTCAAGACTTCAGACTTTAGGGGTCTCAAGTGGAGGGATCTCCTTCTTCTTCGCTTCCAAGCTCTATCATCGACCGTCTCTGCTCTCAGACCGGGGAAGGGGGGCTCTAAACTTGGGTGCGTTGGCCCTAAACCCTACACCTCAAGGGTTCTGCGTTCAAGTTAGCCCCAGTGGGAACCGAATTTAGAACAACCCACAAGCCTTTCAGTATCCTTCGCCCAAACTGTTCCGGGGTTTAGGGTTTGAGCTTTAGGCTTTTGATTCTCTAATTCGCTACTAAGAACCTGTGAGGAACAAGTAAGGAGCTCACCAACCGGGCAAGGGCCGTGCAGGGGGTTTAAGGTCAAGGGTGGCGGCTTAGGAAAGAGGGTTATTAGGACTCAGGGTTTAGGGTTCACAGGGTTTTGGATTCATGGGGTTTAGGGTTCCTGGAAACCACCGAAAGTTTCATGGGGCAGGGTTTAGGGTTCAGGGCTTAGGATTCAGGTTTCGGGTGTAGGGTGGCATGTTCCCCCTTTTACTAACAGTCCTTAGTTGATAGGGACTAAAATAGGGGGTACTAACATCCCCATTAAGGACTGTTAGTATAAGGGGGGAGCATCCCAAGGTTTAGGGTTCCCGGAGACCACATGAACTTCATTAGGGAAGGGCTAAGCCCTAAACCCTAAACCCTAAACCCTAAACCCTAAACCCTAAACCCTAAACCCTAAACCCTAAGCCTAGTGTTGCGGGTCTCTCTTCCAGCCTTCAGGCATGTTCTGACGCGGAGTCTTTTCCACTTGATGTCCAGAGGCCTGCAAGCAACCCATAACACCTGCCAGGGCGTGGTTGTGGGCTTTAGGGTTCAGGGTTCAGGGTTCAGGGTTTAGGGTTTAGGGTTTAGGGTTTAGGGTTTAGGGTTTAGGGTTTAGGGTTTATGGTTTAGGGTCTTGGGAACTCGGGCTCCACGACTTGGGGTTCTGGGGGTTGAGGACCCTTTTAAGACGGGCACGGGGGGCTCTAGGGTTGGGGTTTTCGGATTGCTTTGTGCGGCTTGTGAACTTGGGAGGTTGGACTTGCCATGTTCATTCTCCCATGCTGCAATCGTGGTCCTCAAAAGCTTCACCCTGCAAAGCCAACTCTCTGATTACACCTTCCGATACGACGCTTGAACCCTAAACCCTAAACCCTAAAAACTCTCTGACTTCTGGGCAGAAGTAAGTGCCGCACAAGGTCGTGGGGCGTCTGCGCTCGTCACAGTCTGTCACTGACTGCGCAAACGAACTCGAGCCGAATAGAGCTGTCGGTAGGACTGCTTCCTTTTGAACCCGTATGAGGACTTGGGGCTTGTGGCTTCGGCTGCAGAGATTCACCGGTGCCTTCACATCGAGGCATCCTCCATTAGGCTTGGGTTTAGGATGTAGGGCTTAGGGGTATAGGTTCAGAGAGTCGGGCTTCAGGGTTACGGTTTAAAATCAAGGGTCTCCTCGAGACAAAAACAGGGGAATGGAGACCTTCCACGCATCACGACGGGCCCTTTTGTCCGGGCGATCAAGACCCCTAAGCTCCCTAGACCCCAACCTACCAAGCCCTAAATCCTAAACCCTGAACCCTTTGAGCCCTAACGCCCTACCTATGTCGTCATGGATCTTCGTTCTTCAGGCTTCAAGAGCAAACCCCCTAAACTTTACCTAGGAATCTAGGGTTCAGGGTGTCGGGTTTAGGTTTTAGGGGTTTTTTAGGGTTTGGGGTTTGGGGTTTGGGGTTTAGGGTTTAACTAGGGTTCGTGGTCTGAAAGCAACAAGGCCCCGGAGAGCTTCGGCATTAACCACCCACTCAAACCCCCCAGGCCCGAAGCCCCCTAAGCACACCTTCAAGGGTGATATATGGTTTAGGGTTTAGGGTTTAGGGTTTAGGGTTTAGGTATATGGGTTGTAAAATGCGGAGTAGGTGAGGGAAGCCAGCCAGGAAATAGACCCAACCGCCTTAGTGCCGACGACCCCTCCAAAAAAACCTAAGTCCTCAACACCCTTAAATTATCCCAGGGTTCGTAAGCCTCATCAATCACCCTAACTTCCGAAAAATCTAGGTTCCTACTTTCCTGAGACTGCATGAGACACCTGAAGCAGCCCCCTAACATCGCGGGGCCCCGCACGACGCCACTCCGGCGCGCGATCTGCCTGGAAGCTTACTGTTGGTTTGCAGAGAATAAGGGAATTAGGGTCCTGCATATACCCTTTAAGGGATTATATAACATACCGTAACATACCTGATTCCCCCATTGCCACGAACCAACAATAAGGAGGTTGGAGGAGGCGGCAGGTTGACGCGAGGGTCGAGGGTTCAGCTTTCGGGGGCTTTTCTTGCGGCTTTTGCCTGGCGCTTCAATGAATTGGGACGGCGCGTAGGCGGGGTTTAGGGATTGGGCTTCAGGGTTCGAGGGCGCTTGGGGGTCTCCAGAACTAATTGCAGCGCCAGCTATTACCAGCTAGAGGCTATGCGAGGGAGGCTGAGGAGGTTGAGGTCTCAGCTTTTCGAACTGGGGGGGGGTCTAATATTTTGGATCGGTTTGGGGGCCCCCACAACCCGAAAACCTCGCGACCCTCAAACCCCTGAAGCCTTAAACCCCTCAAACCCCGAGATCTAACCCCTTGAAAACCCCCGAAACACGTGAAAACCCCCCTCAAACCCCAAGACTTAACCCTTTAAAACCCCCGAAACACATCAAAGCCCCTCAAACCTTTAAACCTGTGGAAGTGCCGGCCCGGCCTCGGGCGAAGACACGTTCGAAACAGCGCCCAACCGTTCCGATGAGGCGCCAGGCTGAGACGGGAGCAGTGCCCCGAAAACCCAAACCCTAAACCCTAAACCCTAAATGTCCGAAAACCCCTGAAAAAGTTCGGGAAGCGGGGTGCCAGGGTTTAGGGCTCAGCGGTTCCGAGTCTGCAGGGCGTGGTTCAGACTAGAAGCCTAGGTTCTAGATTTAAGGCTTGAGGTGTAGAATTTAGGGCTTAGGGTGTAGCACCTGCCCCGCCATCTCCTCCCGAAACCTTTAAACCCGGCCAGGCAAACAAAATCCTGACAGAATGTAGGTGGAACATCCTGTAAGTTCCGCGCTACACCCTAAACCCTAAACCATAAGCCCTAAACCCTAAACCCTAGACCCTTAACCCTGAACCCACTAAACCCTTAAGACCCCCAAAACCCGGAACCCTGCTCTGCATGAGTTGGACATCTGATGTCAAGGGGAAGAGATCGCCGAGGAAAGCCAACAGACCCAAGCATCCAGGTGTGAGGGTCCCTCTTTGCGTTCTGACTCGATATGTTTGTGCCTATGTACCATTCTTACTATGATCACTATTACTGCTGTTGTGCGGTTAGTATGCACTATCCCTATCAGCACTATGGCTGCAACTTACTGTACTACTGTCACAACTACTTTTGCTACTATTGCTACTCTTACTCTTACTCTTACTACTCTTACTGCGACTACAATCGACCACTACTGCTACTATTGATACCATTGCCCCGGTCTATTGCAACCCCCCCGACTCTCTGGGGTTGGACGGGGGCGCAGATCGAGTGTTCAGGGTCCCAGTCCCAGTGCAGCGGGATCGCAGGGCCTCCTCTGAGATCTGGCCTGAGACGGGCATGGAAACCCTCGAAGTGCATTCGGAGTTCATGGGCGTGAGGTTTGGGGTTGCGGTCTTGCACCGGCGTGGGGGCCCTGGCCCTTCGAGAGTCTTCGCAAGAAGTGAGGCACTGCAGGCGCACCATCAAAGCCCACCTATGAATCGCGGTCCAGGACACCCCCTGAAGAACTTGTCCTTACACATCCCGAAACGACTCCGAACTCCATGACCATGAGTCCCATGCCCCAAGTTTCCCTACATTAGCATCCTTTCTTCGGTGGTGTCATGTGGGCCTTTCTGGAACGCCGACACCCAGCAGCCACACTTTGGGTGAAGTCCCCAAATGCCGGGACCACGGCGCTGCATGCTGAGAAGGTCCTCGAGCTCGGCTGCCTTCTCTTCCAAGGGTCCCGCTGGGGAAGAGGTTGAAATGTCAGGTTTCAGGTTTGGGGTTTTGGGTTCAGGGTTGAGGAATGCTGCGGCTTTGGGGGGAGCTCTTCAACCCCAACACGTGCAACCTACACAGACAAAGAAGCCCAACGGCCTACATAAACCCTAAACTGCCCTAAACCTTGAACGGCCCTTTAGCCTAGCGCGAATGACACCCTGAACCTGCCGTGGGGGAGCACGTAGTAATTAGACTAGAGGTTATTTGTGCGGTGTCTTAAACCTCACCCTTAAAACCCTCAAACCCTAAATTCCCTTGAAGCCCCAGAAAACAATTCTCTGAAGGCGGCCGCCTTGCAGCGCCACATCTCCGTTTCCGCCTCGGATCGCTCCAAGGCCTTCCCAGGGTCATCTCAGTTTCGGGGCGGTTTAGGGTTTGGGGGGTTTGAAGGTTCAGCAAAGGTCACTTGGCTTCGAAGGGTGTGGGCTTTGGGGTTTAGGGTTTCGGGTTTGGGTTGGGGTTACCGACAAGATACGTCAAGATTGACTTGGGGTTGCGAAAAGAGGCAATCGAGGCAGGCGCTGGGTGCTTGGTAGTCAACGCCGCTGGCCCTCTTCTAGCCTTCGTGATATGAACCGCCGCATGCTGTCCGACCTGGGATTAGGGCAAGGGTTGTGGCTGAGTTTTGGGCTTTCTATCTCATCTCCCAACCCACCGTTAAAACCCTACAGCCTTCAGCCTAAGCCCCAAACCCCACTAAGATCCTAAACCTCTGAACCCGAAACCCGAACCCCACGTCGAATCGGAAGCGCTGCCTCCGTGAGGTTTTGCCACTGGACCAGGTCGTCATCCTGGTCTGGCCATCGTCGAAACTAAAGCCACAGGCGGAGGTTCCTCAACCCCAAACCAATTGAGCTGAAGGTTGTTTTGAGTTTAGAGTTTCGGCATGATTTGAGCCTGGGGCGAGAGGGCTATCGACAAGTGTTCAGACCAGGGCCACAATCGTGTTTGAGGTGATTCAAGGGCTTAGGACAGGGCATTGTGCTACCTCCCTTTGGGAACTCATTTCGGAAGAAGCAGCTCTGTAGCAAAAGACACCCGTAAGGGAACTCTGACTTCAACATCTCCAAAATGGGGGTTTGATTCTTAGACTTCCATATCGTATCTCCACCAGGGTGAGGTTCTTGCAGCTCGCTGTACGTCTTGGCCTTAACCCACTCTGCAATACTGCAAGGAAAATGTGGACGCGCTGCTCTGCCCGTCAGCCGGCCTCCCACTGCGCTCTCAGGCGTTCAGCATCATCCTCCGCAGTCGCCTGTAGGCGTGCCCGGCTTGGGGAAAGATTCTGTGCGTGCGTCACATGCCCAGGCAGCAATCCAGATCTCGAATGTACGGCGGACTGATACCTGCACCCTCATTCTTAGCCCCTCGATGCGAAACACTAAACCCCAAAGCCCAAACTCTCTGATCCCACAACCAAAAACTCTGAAACCCCGAGCCCCTAACACCCCCGCTCCCTGTGCCTGGGAGGCCAGGGCCGTGGTGACGTGGCTCCGCGTCCTCGGCTCTAAAACCCGAAACCCACAAACATTATGGTTTAGGGTTGAGGGCTTTGGGGTTCAAAACGTAGGGTTTAGGGTTCAGGGTTGAATGGGTGTACGCTGTTCCGCTGAAGTGGAGAAGATGCGGGGCATCATCTAAAACTTGCAGAGGAGGGGAAAGGTTGCAACAACCCATGCCCCAATGGGCATTCGGGGCTGGGCTCAGGGTTTTAGGGTTTTGGAACTTGGGGTTTCTACCCTAAACCCTAAACCCTAAACCCTGTTTTTGGGTTCCAGGGCTTCGGGTTGTACGAGTGCCGAGGCGCTCCCGGCCGTGAGAGGTGTGCGGCGGTTCTTGAAGCCGGGCGTTATATAAGGACTTCGGCTCTTGCTTCTGCACTAGAATTTCGGGGTTTAGCGTTTAGGGTTTAGGGTTTAGGGTTTAGGGTTTAGGGTTTAGGGTTTAGGGTTTAGGGTTTAGGGTTTAGGGTTTAGGGTTTAGGGTTTAGGGTTTAGGGTTTAGGGTTTAGGGTTTAGGGAAGCCCCATAAAGCAACGCCTGCGCCGTCAAACCTGACAAACTTAACGGCTTGCGTTCGTCCAATGGGCGGCGAGTCGAAGAGATAGGCGAAGCGGCTCTCGAGGCCTCAGCAGCTCATGAGAAGTGGTCCCAAAAAAACGCTAGAAACTGGAAGTGCAGGTTTTGGCTGTAGGGTCTGGGGTATAGGCTGCCCCTTCCCCTTAAGTTTTTCCGGCTCGCCTACGGAGGGACCCGAAAAGGGACCACGATGTGGAGAGCTCAGGCCAAGGACGTGTGTGGAAAGTCCAGGCCCCCGACCCATGGGATACAGCGCCGCTTCGTCCAGTGACGCGGGGACCGAGCCCTGGTCCAAAGGGTGCCGGACTTTCACTTCCAAAGGGGGGCCGTTCTTACTTTAGGGGCCCTTTAGGGGAACCACCCGGAATACCCCGTAAAGGGGACCCCCGGAAAGGGGGGGAGAGATCATCCTAGCTGCCCATGCGACGAATACATTGGAACAATCACCGTGTCAGTAGAGCTCCCACAAAAATCCCAGAAGTCATGAGCAGCTGCGCGAGGAACTAGGCTTAAGCTGCTTCGAAGTCCGGTGGCCACGAGCAAGTCGAACCAGCATTCTTCCCTTTTCTCTCGAGCTGCCACATTGAGATTTGCTGGTCTCAATGTGGATTGCAGACCGCACTGCAAGATGGCCAGGAGACAAAGAGGAGGGGTCCTGCTTCAGGAGTTTCTTGCAAGTTGTCCTACACTGCTCGCACGTAACAACAGGCCGGGCATAGGTAGATGGCACTGTGACAGGGACTTCGGCTGTTCGATGTGACTGCAGCTGCAATGATGAGCAGCACCGGCGCCCGTCATCAGCACTGCCATCGCCACCACCGCAATCAACAACACACCACCGGCATCACCTTCACCCACCACCGCACCGACGCCAACGCCACCGCCGCCCCCGCAACTGCCAAAAAACGCAAATGTTCTAGAGTTCGGTGTTGCTCATGTTGAACACAACACTGTGGTCTCAGGAGCTGGTCTTGGAGGCTCTTCTGGTTGACATTCCAGGACATTACATGAGGTAGGCAGGCAGCCGAGGGTCAAGAATTCGCGAAAATACACATGCGCCCTTGACTATCTTGCACATCCAGGCCTGCTCTGGTCTGCTGATGGGCCCAGAGCTACTGACATGAGAATCAGGTCTCTAGGATCGTACGAATAGCGCAAATCAAGAGCCTTACCTTCTGATCCCTGAAGCAGGCTGAGTTTAAGTCGTGCATTGTCCAGCCGCTTTGCCTCAGGCCAAACTGATTTCTGTCTGCACCCTTCTCGAATCTGATCAAGGACTGTGGAACTTACTTGTCTTCTCAGGTAGTGGCCAAAGATCAACGAAGACAAAACACACAGCTATGCACAAAGGGTGCGACTCTTCCATGTTGCAAACACTACCGCATGGCAACCATTGGAAAGATTCAACCTGCTGGGCTCTTCCTGCACATGTGGCTTCCTGTTGAACGGGCAACTGGCAAGGGCACTGCAAAAAAAATCTCGCGCTTCCCCACGCATCTGCTAACAAGGAAACGGGAAACACTGGGAGAAGGGAACCGGAGGAGAGCTTCATGGAGAGGGGGCAAGATTCTCGAATGGCAAAGGCATGGCATGCTGACTCTGCGAACTTTGGAGGTTTTTGCCAGTAGCCCCGAGAACCCCCAACCCGCCCCAAAATCTGCACAACACGGCGATTGCATTGTATTCATTTTTAGGGGTAGGGATAACCAAAATCTTACTAAATGGGAGTTTCCTCGAAAATTGGGGACCCTCATGGGTATAACAACCCCAAATTAGTCTCCGATGGACTTGAAGTCTACGCTGTGCTTGGCGCGAGAGCGAGAGCGAGGCATGAGAAAAGAGAGAGATCCAGGAGTGAGGGCCTTATTCAGGTTTTTGTTGCTAGGGCTTCAGGTATTGGGGCTCTTGGGCGCTTTGGATTGCCAGGGTTTAGGGCGTAGGCTTTTGCCATATGCACAAGGAGCAGCCGCAAAGTACCGCTGAGGAAGCGAATTTGGTCAAACAATCTGGGTATGCATCGAATTTAGCTGGGCTTTTCAGCACCAAACAGGCAGCGGTCGAACGACAGGTCAGGGCAGCTGCAAGCCGAAGATGACCTCAACAGCGGGTTTAGGGGTTAGGGTGTAGGGTTTAAGGCTTAGGGTTTAGGGTTTAGGGTTTAGGGTTTGGGGTTGAGGTGTTAGTTTTAGGTTTGTAGGAGGTCGGGGTTTGTAGGAGGTCCGGGTGAAGGTGAACAAAAACCAGGGTTCTCATGCTCCTTGAAGCGAGACAGGATGGATCCAAGCAAGGAGCTTGAGCTTACTAAGCTCCAAACCCTAAGCCTTAGGGCTTAGGGGTTCAAGGACCACTGGATTTTTGGGGGTCCTAGCAGCCGAAATTCCTAAACCCTCAACCTCTGATCCCGTGCGGCCTTGGACACCTCCAACTTAAAGGCCTTGAAACGCCCCAGCCGTCAGCTATCTGAAGCTCTAGGCTTTGGGGCGTAGCACTGCGAGGTTTGGGCTTTCGGGTTTGCGTTGTAGAAGGCCACCTCTAACCCTTCAGCTGCTTCTAAACCACAAAACTCTCAACCTGTCCAATTGTCTGAATTAAGGCCCCGGGGCCCTCCGCTGGCCCTGCAGCTTCGGCGGCTCCCAGGGGGCGGTGGCATTTGGCTTCCAGCGGAGGTACCTGACCCGGAAGTTTGGGTTTCATCGGTTTCATTGGGGTTTAGGTTTAGGGTTTCAGTGGTTTAGGGTTTAGGCGGTTTACGGCTTCAGTGGTTTAGGGTTTAGCGTTTGGGTGGTTTGGGGCCCTCGCCACCCCCACCCCCAACCCCCCCTGCCCTGCGCACCCACACATCAGGCCGCCAATAGAAGTAAACTGCGGCTGCAAGTACCTCCAGAAGGTAGCAAAGGCATCTGACGAGTCAGTCTAAGCCACGCAAAGGCATCTGACGAATCTGCACCAAGGTGCGACTTTGAAGCACTGGTCTCGCAACCGTCAGGATCCCTCAATACCCTGCAGCTTGGGATTTCGGACTTGCATACAGTAGGGCCAGTAGGCCCCCCGACACTTTCTGCGCCAGCTCGGCGGGATGTTCGCCGCCCACCAGGAAGAGGACCGCCTGTCCTTTCTCGCGACTGCGGCGAAGAAGCGATGAAAGCTCGGCCTTCAGCAGCCAAGCTATTGACGATGATGTTTCTGCTTTGCTGCATATGTCTTGATACAACTGCTATTCTCATTCTTGCAAAAAATATTGCGAGTAGTCCTACAGCTGCTCTCCAATGTTTCCATTGTTAATACTACCATTGTTTGCGTGCTGACTACTACTACATCTTACAATGATTGCTATGAGTATGGCGACTAGGACAAGTATGATCACTCGTATCGTTCTTATTCCTCTTACGCCTCATGTTGCTCTTATTGCTCTTACTGCTCTTCTTACTCTTAATACTCATAATATCGTATTCTTTTTCATCTTCTTATTGTCCTTGGTACTCTGATTTGTCGTATTACTAAGAACGATGATTACAAACATTAACAAGTATATTAGGATGCTTGTTCTTCTTGCTATTAGTATTGATATGTACGGTTATCGTTCTCATTCCCTGCTTGTTTTATTTGATTCTGTCTTTTCTCGTCTCGTCTTGTCTGCTCGCTTCTTTTGTTTAATGGTCTTTTCTGCTTATCTTTTACTGTCTTGAACTTATTTGTTTTTCTGAGTTGATCCTTCTTTCTTTGAAAGACAACCTCTAGCCCTTTATACTTTGAAGGGAAGACCTCTATTTCCTCTGTATTTTGGAAAGCCTCCATTCTCTCCATATTTGAACAGGACCTCCATGTCCTAAACGGAAGACCTCTATCTCCTGTACATTTTGGAAAGCCTCTATTTCCCCTATGAACCTCGACTTCCTTCAAATTTTAAACGGAAGGTCTCTACTTCCTCTAGATTTTGGAAGATGTTTCTGCTGCCTCCGTATCTTCATAGGAAAACTTCTACTAGTATTTCCACTAATTTAATGGGAAGCCTCACACACACCAAAAACAAATGACCAAGAAGATGCTACCACAGAAACCCTGAGACCCACAAACCCACAAAGAACTCCCCGGCGCCTTCACCACAGGGCCCAGGTTGTGACGCTTGGCGCGATCCTCACAGCCAAGGCAGCCCTGCTAAGAAAACGTTACCACTTCATCACCGGAAATTAAGGCTGAGGGGTTTGGGGTTTCAAGGTTTAGGGTTCATGGGTTTAGGATGGTTTAGGGCTTCGGAGTCAGGCTTTGCGTGGGAGCTCAAGCCCAAATCCCTCCAAACCCTAATCGACCCCCTAAACCCCTAAACCCTGAACACTAAACTGCTGTAAACCCTAATCCCTAAACCCTAAACCCTAAACCCTAACCCCTAAACCCTAAACCCTAAACCCTAAACAATAAACCCTAAACCCTAGCAAGTGGACCTTCGGAGCCAGCGCGCAGTAGACGTCGAGCACGACCACAGGCGCCTGCGAGCCGCGGCTTCATGGTTCAGGTTTCCGAAACCCGAAACCCTAAACCCTGAACCCGAAACCCTAAACCCTGAACCCGAAACCCTAAACCCTAAATCCTAAACCTCACACCCTACACCCTATACACCTTGTATCTTAAAGTTTGAACCCTGAACCCCATACACCCTACACCCTACATCTACACCCTAAAGCCCAAACCCCTAGAAGATGAGCTCAAACATACAGTTGAAACTCACCTGACGCCCTTTTTTGGGTTCAGGGTCCGGCCACTCCTTAGAAACAGGGTTTAGGGCTTGGGGCTCAGTTTCAATAGGGTTAGGGCCTTAGGGTTGGGGGTGCGGGGTTTAGGGCATGCAGTTTGGGGCTGTACGGCCTAAACTCCAAACCTGACGGTTTTTTCGGGCATGCTGGTGGCATGTCCACGCTTCAAGACTCTTTGCCCTGAGCCCTTCAAACCCCATATACCCTCTCTAAACCCTAAACCCTAAGCCCCTTTTATACGTGAACGAAACGAGCACAAGAAAAGAAAAGAAGACAACTGCCAAGAATTAGATGAAAGAAATGTAATGCTGCAAGAACAAAGAAAAAGAAAAGACAATCATAAACAGCAAAGCCTAAACCCTAACCCCGAACCCTAAACGCAAAACCGCTCAACCCTCTAAATCCTCCCCCCAGCCCCCAGCAGCCTTCGACTCCATGAGCTCGCGCAGACGGGCCTCAAAGGAACCCTCAACCCTGGCTCCCCCAACATTAATTGTGCGCCTCCGGGACGTGTTCCTAAGAAGGGCTTAGGGCGGACTGTAAGTGGGTGCAGAATTGAACAGCCGGAGATGTGACCATGTCGCTGCCACCTTTCTTTCGTTTCTCCGGCTTCTTCTCCTTTCCCTCTTCTCCGCTGCCTCTTCCTTCCTTGCCTTTGCCACTCCTCCAACGCTTTCACTCGGAAGGGTTCACCGCGGAATTGACCTCTTCGTGGCGGAGCTGGTTGGTGGGTTTGCGGGGGGCACCCTCGGGGGGTTGCGCGACCTCTTCTCGGCGAAGTTCTCGGAGGCGCCCCCCGGTTGCAATCGACCTCTTCGTGGCGAAGCTTGTTTTTTTGCTTGGGGAGTGGATGCCCGCAATCAGCTGGCGTGTTGTTTATCGCAGCTGGACCTCTTCCTTCTGCTCTTTTCGGCTTGATCCTTAAGCCTTCGGGTCGGAGGTGATGCCGTTCTCTTTAGGCCAGATCTTCGGGTCTCGCTCGTCCCTCCAATCCTTCCGTCCGTGTGTGAGCCAGGCAATCTTGCATTGCCAATTTGTTGCCGACCCATGCTGCTCCTTGGTTGAGCTGAAGACAAGTGAACCTGGCCGAAACCTTAAACCATCAACCCTCAACCCGCCCTCAGCCCTCGATCGTCAACTATCAACCCTCAACCATCAACCCTAAACTCTAGACCCTAAACCCTAAACCCTAAACCCTAAACCCTAACCCTTCAGCCCATGCTCACCGCTCTCGCCGTGAGATGGGTCCAGCATGCACTCAGGTTGAGAAGTCCGGGATAAACCCTAAACCCTAAACCAACCCTCAACTCTACCCGGTGCCTCAGGCACCACGTCGCATAGGCGCTCCTTCTGCTCCTCGACAAGCACCAGGGCAAATTGGGCATCAGGGTTTAGGGTTTAGGGTTTAGGGTTTAGGGTTTAGGGTTTAGGGTTTAGGGTTTAGGGTTTAGGGTTTAGGGTTTAGGTTTACGGCGTCTTGGTCGTAGGGTTTAAGATGCTGTTCGGGCTTAAGGCATGCGGCTTGGTATTCTTGGTTGGGTTGATTTTGGAGTTGGGGCAGACCAACATCATCATGGCAAAACCCCCAAAGGCAACAGCAACGCAGGGGCTGCCCTAAATTGTGGGTGCTTCCTGACCCTAAACTGCAAGGACCAGGAACTTCTATAGAAACCCAAAAAAACACACCACGGGTTGGGAGAACCCTCATGTAGAAAGCCCCTCGCCGGGGCTTTAGGATGTCAGGCTTTAGGGCTTGCTGGTTTCGACCCAACGTTGCCCCTTGTCCCGGCAACTTGCATATGGTAGCATAGGAATACAAGGAAACATAACAATCATAACAATAAGCACAATGATGATAGTGGAATGCTAGTATGGCAAAAAAAGAAGATGATACCATCAATAAACTAGCATTCTCGCAGTAATCCAGATTATACCGTAGTCTGAGCAATTTCCACACTAGGGTCCCCAAAAGAAAACGTAGGAAGGCAAAACCGACACAAAGTTTTGGCGACCTGAAACATGTCTTTTGATGCCAATTGGCTGCTTTGATGGCCACAATGGACCTGCAACGATGTTTGGGGTACGGCTGCCTTCCCCTTGCCATTCGCCTCTACGCTTTTCCATCCCCGCTACAGTGAACTCCTGAAAACCCCGTCGCCACTTCGGCGAATCCCGCTGCCACACTACAACGAACACTCTGCCTCCACTATGCTTTCAGATGCGGTGCGCAAAATGCCCACTTGCCCACTGCATCCGTGCAAAATTTCCAGTGCCTTTGGACTGGATCAACGCACTTTGCCCTTCCAGGGCCTCCCCGCACTGGTCCACTGCTTGCCTTCTGCCCCTTGCCAGAGGCCTCTGCACTTCTCCAGTGCTTCGCTATAGCATGTTCTAAGTGTGCACCTTTCCCACCGCAGTTTCACCTGCATTTTGCATGCACTTCCCTAGTGCCCTTCCTATACGTCTTTTTGATAGCGAACAACGACGTTCTTGAGGCGGCCGAAGTGGACCTGAAACGATGCTTCTGTGCACCTAAGAAGGGCACCCGGAATTTCGGAAACCCCACATCTTCATAGATCTCATCTGGGGCCCTCCTCTCCAGGGCAGCCCTCCACGCCGATTCGCTGCCTAGGAAGCTGGCAGGCTCGAATGAGGCATGACGGAAGAGTTCTACACTTGGCCTCAAAGAGTCTTGCTGCGTCTGTTTTGTGTTGGGTGCTGGCTTCTTGTGGGTTTGTTTTGCACTATTGCTCTCCACTCCATTGCTGCACGTCATGCTTCTCATAACTTCTCTAGATGCTTCGGGGCCGCTGTGTCGCGGTTTTGTCCTGCAGCTCTCGTAACGTTCGTACTTCCAGGTCTTCTTCCCAAACCTCATTATGATATACTGCGAATACTATTTAGTGCTAAATATACCGCTATATACATATACATCTATTGAGCTATGCCATATCTACTATACTCCGATTTACCCTATTGTACTGTGCGTACTACACTATACTACATTTAAATACATCCAGATCCTGTGATCCTATTTGACGATCCTACCATCATGTCCCCGCCAACTGCAATGGCAAAAAGTCTTAGGAATGCTGCCTAAATTTAGCACGGGGACATGAAGACTAACAGAAAAGATGCCTCCTGATTCACGCCTTCAAGCGAATAGCCTCGCAGAAGCTGTGAGCTCGAACACGACAGGGAACCCAATGGATTGCCCATAGTATACGACATACTACGAAACTACTATATCACTAGTGCTATTTCTTATTAAAGATCTGCGTTTGTTGCATTCTGTTATGTTGCTACTGCGGTTCCACGGTCATTGCTTCTTCTCTGACAGCCATGCACACAATCCCAAGAACCTGAGTCGGGGGGCAAGCCATATTGGCGCTCGCCAACAGGCTGCTTCTCGTGGCCCTGCACAACAGAAACGAAAAACAAGCTACTGAGAAAGGACAGGTCAGGGCTACCCAGGCCAAGGAATGAACTCCCCAGCAAGATCGAGTAAGATGTTAGAAGATAGTATATGAACTCAGAAATACTCATCAAAACTCAGGTGTAATGTACATCGTTTTGTATCTGTCAATATGCACGAATCTGTACTAGTCTATAGGTGCATATAAGTGCTACCCACGACACAGCGACCTACCGATTCTAGCGGTTTTTAGCTTGTCTTATATGGAGCAGAAGACTCTCGTGCATGGAGCATCTAAGCAAGACTTGAATTCGTGAGCGTGAAGGGCTTGTTCTCTCTCCCAACGCGATGTTAAAAGGACAATACTGACAGCGTTGTTGGAGCTTGCGGTTTCTCTAGGCAAATAGTGCTTTTACTAGGCAAAGTATTGATTGAAAAAGGCTACTGAAGTACCTGCCTCTATCTATCTATCTATCTATCTATCTATATACATATATATATACACATATATATATATACATATATATATATTAGCCTCACGAAGTATTGAGGAGATGGGGCCAGGGAACGGGACAGCTTACAGACGTCCAAGGCTTGTGCCTCGGGGAATGGCCCACCATAGTCCATGGATGCCAGCGCGTGCCCCATCGGAAGCTCCTCTCTTGGACAGAGGGTTAAGGGTTTTAGGGTTTTAGGGTTTAGGGTTTAGGGTTTCGGGTTTAGGGTTTAGGGTTTAGGGTTTTGAAGCGTTTTGAAGGGCTTTGAAGGGCTTTGAAGGGTTTTGAAAGGTTTTGCAGGGTGTTGAAGGGTTTTGAAGGGTTTTGAAGGGTTTTGAAGGGTTTTGGGTTTAGGGTTTAGGTTTAGGGTTTATGGTGCACTCGTTTGTTATTCCTGTCTTGGGTTCAAAAGTTACTCGTGTTCGCTTCCTTCTCGAGTGCTCAGGCACAAACAACAAAACCCTACCGTGCGGAAATTTACCCTTGTTCCTCCTTAGGGTTAAAACTATACAGCGCCTACATAAGCACAAGCCCCTAGTAACCCTATATAAGTCATATGAGCCCTTCTACACCTTGTAGTCCCCTGCTTTATTGTAAAAACTAAGCTGCCGAGACGGCTCACCACAGCCCCAGACCCCTAAACCCTAAACCCTCTAAACCCTGGGCTCCTGATAGATCAGGAGCGAAGCCAAGCCTGCACAAGGTTCCCAGGCTCAGGTTTGAAGGACTTCTGCGTGCGCTTGCTCTCTGAGTACGCAAGATACAAGAGAGCCGTGCGAATCAGCACGAAGAATAACATCACCAGGGTCAAAACCTAGTCACGCCCACAGGACGACAAGCATGACGCCACGTCACATCTCGCAAACACCAGGCTTCCTTTCAGCCGTCTCCTTCTGTCTTCGCCAACAACACCAGTGTGTATGACAAACCGAATCTGATGAAAATGGTGCGAAGCATCATGTGATATTGCACGTTTGCTTGCCGTCTTGAGCACCTCTGATACTCCAATTATTCCAACTTGCCAGGTTTGCAAGCGCGTTCCTGTATTGCGACGCAGTTTGTGGTGGCAACCCCTCCCCCTCTCCCCGGACGTCTGAGATCGTCTGAGCCTCTAGCCCTGCAGAACCTGCATGTTGAACGCGCTCTTCGCGCCAAGTTCAAGACAAAACCCTCCCCCAAACAGCCCTCAAGATCCGAAGCTCCCCACCTACAAGCCCCACCCGACACCCCAAACCCCAAACACCGACCAAACCTGCCCACCAGGCTCCCAGGCGGAGGGGGCGCCCCGGCCGCAAGGCCACGCGGAAGATGGAGTTCGCCTTCTTGGGGTTTAGGGGTTTCAGGGTTTGTTTTTGGGTTTATTTAGGATGTAGGGTTTAGGGGTTTAGGGGTTTTGGGGTTTGTTTTTTGGGTTTATTGAGGGTTTAGGGTTTCTGGCTTCAGGCTAAGGCTTCGATCTGTTGGGAGTTGCAACGCGCGTTTTGTTTGGGGGGTAAAGGAGCCTGGAGCACGATACTGAAATTCAACCGCATTCACGGGAGTCCCGCATTTGGTGCTCGGGAGGCTACAGCATGTTTAGGGACCCTTAAGTGCAACCATGGCCTGAAAACCCACATGAAGCCAGAAGTGACGTCGGGTCAGCTTGGGGAACACTGGGAGCTCTCGCA